GCCATTGTGATATTTAAGAGCATTACCGGCAGTGCTGTTGTCATCGTATTGGCCAATATTCAGATTGTACTCACCAGGGGATATTTGGAAATCTGAGTACTTTGCCCAAGCTGTGTTACCCACCAGGTTCCCTAAATCAACTCGTATCTCCCATGTCCCTCCTGAAGCATCAGATGTCAGAGTTACCAAGTTGTCATTGCCCAACCAGAACTCACCGGACAGATCGCCAAAGCCAGACTGGTATTCGGTCCAGTTACGGTAGAAGTCCACGCTGCCGTCTTGTCGCCTTTGGAACACGATCCAACCGCCGCCATCAGTTTCCATGTCACAGTAGACACGGAGGCTACAACCAGCATCTGCATAGATGGTGTAGATACCGCTAGAACGATGGCCTGCATCCAAGAGCATCTTGCAGCTTCTGTAGCGATTTAGGGAGATACCGGTCAGCGAGGAGAGAGGTGTGTCCTCGTCTGCATCAAAGTACACACTCCCAGGAATTGCAGTGAAGTTTCCAGGATGCTCTCGTCTTGTGGCAAGGTTCAACTCGCACATTTTGTTGCAGTCGTTTAAGTTAAAAGACTTGCATCGCTCATCTCTGCTGCAGTCCCATCCGCAGATAGCACGAGAGTGTACAGATTTACGTGCGTACGCAAACCCCAGCAGTGCGCGATTTTCCGCGGCGTACATGATTTGTTGACGTGGATTCAGTTGATATCCACTGACCAAAATAACCGTTGCCCAAAGTATCATCACGTGAAACGCAATGAAACCCGCATCGGGATCCTTCATCTTTTGAAATAGGCCAATCTGACTCTGTCAATTAATGTTCGCGAATAAATAGTGGTAAATATCTTGTATTAGACGAACTGGGGACTCGAATCAAATCGTTTAAGAATTTACGTTCTGAGATGATGCCGGCCCAAAGATGTTGCTAAATGTTATTACTCAGTGGGATAGAATGCAGAATTATGCTTGTCGTATTCAATATGTTCTCAAGCATATAAACACAGACACAAACTGTACCTTTGGCGAATCAAAAGATAATTTCGTGAAAGCAAACCAAGTCAAATTTGTAGCTCTAAATTTTCATTCTTCGTTAAATTCGACTGTCACTACACGGAAGAGGTTTATAAACGCCATACCAAAAAGCACAAAGTATCCACTATTGCGGCGCAATACACGTGGTTGCGTGCAAGGCACGCATAATCACAGAGATGGAAATACACTGATCGGTCGTTGATACGATTAAGAATGAAGAACTTGCTCTGGATTGGTTGATATCAGACACGGATGTGCCTGCTTCATATCTCATCAGCTACTGACTTGTCATCAGAGAGAAGAACCCATCCTCTAGCTCCGCCCATGATGATATCACGCAGTTATCAAAATGCTTTCCACATTCCATTTAGCCCCTAAGGGCTGAATGCTGATTGATTTCAACAGAAGATCATTTGACATTTTAAAAGCAAATGGAGTAAATGGGTAGTTAGTGGTTTTATAGTTTATGAGTTCAAAAAGAAATCACACTGTTATCGACAGCACAATTGTTATAATCGCTTTGCATTAGTCAATTGTCTGACAATATAAATGCAAATGAACTTGTTTTTGGTTTGCCCTTTCGTTCAAGCAATTAATTTAGCTCTTTCGACACATTGCTCTCCAGAAACTTGCGGGAAAATTGTACAAACTTTTTCAAGGGGGATTTGAACTCACGACCTCGGAGACCTCTAAATACACTCTATTCAGAAAGTGTATTTTATTACACTATAATTCATCAAAACAAAGTTCCATTGAGCGGTTGCAGAGTTGCAAGTCGAAAGTCATGTTTTTGGATGGAGCATCGTTTTTGCAAACAAAGATGGCCAAATCAAGAGGCATATAAATGCCACCTGGTGATATCAATGCAGGCAGACAATCCGGCCCTATTAACAACACAATGACATAACTTGGTTCCAGTGGTTATGGGAGGATAGCATATTTGTACGATGTTTTCAAATTGGCGCAAGCAAATGCTGTCAAGTTTCAGCATAAATTTTCAACTTGTAGTATTCATAGCTTACATGAGTTTAATGACGACAGTCTTGAGCTTGATGATTCTTATAATTTGGTGATTCAGTAATATGCACAGGTAAGCCAAGCACTCAGAAATGATTTTACGCCACTTTTCATTAAACAGGGTTTCCCAGCATGCATATTCAAAGTGTGTAGTGCTGTCCTCTTTGATATTAAAATATAAAGGTGAAATTCGCATTTTGTTATTTCAATGTATTTTAATGTTTAGACGTCAGATTAGAAAGCGGCACGAACACAATTGTCTTATAGTGATATTGCGAAGAGAACCTTTGAGCAAACACACCACACTTAGTCATCAGACAAACCAAAACATGGTTTGGTGCTTTTCACTCAGTTTATTCAACATCATCGATCTTTTGAACACTATTTCTTGCAATGTTCAAGTAAAAGAGCAAAAAACCCAATTTTAATTCCAAGTTATTCATTTTTGTTCTTCCTTTCTTTCTCATTGTAAAAAAGAGGGTAGTCTCATTTATTATGCAGTAACTCAGGGAATAATACAAAAAGAAACACAACTCTTTCCCTACCTTTTCTAAGGATCTCTACTTATCGATCACTTTTATGTCGCAAATGAGAATTGCAATAAAGGCCAATGAATTAGCTGGCTTAAAGTGGATGTCAGTAGAGATAAAGAGCACGCAATGTAACTCCTGGGTATTTTGTTCCACTGATATCAGATTATCATGCAAGCCCTGGCAAATTTGAAGCCCATGTCACTGAACCAGTCTCTAGTCAGTACTGGTTTCTTTCCGTAAACGATTAATCATTCGGTAAATAATTCTCAGTACCCGATTGGAATGTTAAGTACGTGGAAAAAAATTCAACTCACTTCTACAGGCAAATGTAATAGGTCTGGACAGTTGTGCGTTAAATAACTACAATTCTATAAGAAAGCTTTATTCAAACTGTTTCCTTATTTGAGGTGGTGTATTTCTCCTTTGAGGTCATGTGTCCAGTGCATCATTCCTCATTTACAAATTAAGACAGGTCAGTGAAAACACGGCAAAACTTTCAAACACAAATTAAAACATACTAATGAATCTAAATCGTAGGCTTCCTTCTGAGGTTTGACCCTGTTACATGTTGAGTTGCGTGGCAAAAATTTGGATGTCGCACTTTTGATGTGTTGGTGCTTTCAAGTCCTTTTTAAAACAAATTAGAAACATGTTTCCCTTGCCCCCACAAGATACGAGAGCGCATCTTAATCTTAATTTCAACGCGATCTTAATTTCAACAAGCACAGAAAACGAAAACAACAGAGGCAAGAATTTGAGTGCAGGTAGATTATTGGCGCTGGTTATTGATTGATTGCTTGTGCTACTAATGCGGTTATTAATGCATTTGTAATATTCAAAATATGCATAACTATTCCCTAATCAAACAATCTCTCACAAGGTTCAGGTATTTAAGAATTTGTTTTTATCTAAAAGGCTTTAGGCGGGTGATTGGAGACCTCTTTTAAATCAACGTGAAATTATAATCATCTTTTCTGGAGAATTTGTATAGAAAATACTCTACAGGAAATATATATAGCCGATGGTTGCCCGCATAATACATGCAGGTGTGAATAAAAAGTACACGCTACACGTACACGGTTTATTTAAAAAAAAGCTTGCTCTTTTTTCATCAGAAAACGAGTTGAGATTAGCAAAACTACAAGACGGACAGGCAACTTTATTAGCAATAAAGCACAATAAATGAATATCATTCATGTCGTGAATAAGCACACTTAAGCGAACACTCAAACTTTTGATGGAATTTTCTTGGTAGTGCATTTTGGGCAAAAATCATAGGCCTGTTCCCCTTTGGACTCGAAGACATCACTAAACCACTCCACTACTGAGTTTGTCGGGGTTACCTGGCCGGTTCAAACCCAATATTCATGCTGCAGTCAGCAACTACAGATGAACAATTTGCGTATGGGGCACAAGTTTTAATACCAAGTTAATCATTTTTTTAATCATTATATAAAAAAAAGGAGGGTTCCCATTTATTATGCAGTAACTCGGGGAATAATACACAAAGGAAATACGTCCATTAAATCTATCTCCCATTTTTCATTGCCACTTAGATGGATGTCTCCCCATCGATCAATTTTCTTTCGCAAATGGGAATGTCGTGATGTCCTGAATCAGAATAAAGAGTGATAAATTAGATGGCTCACAGTGGATGTCACTCGTGACAATGGGCAGGAAATGTTGTAAAAATATAATGTAATGCCTGACACAATTAAATTTCCTTCATGCTATTCACTTTCTCAGCAATTTTTAAGTCAACCACATCTTGCGCAGCGTTAGTGTTAGCGGGCAGGCAAAGACCAACAGCAAAAGAATATTTTGTGTATCGCCTGATTCCAATGAGAAAAGAGCTTGTGATCAAGCATAAACCGATTGCGACATGAACAAGGTCTAGTACCTCCTGTTCCAAATCTACGGTATGTCATTGGATCACCTGGATACCATTTCAACAGCTCCACACTGTCCACTTTTTTTACTACACGGACACGACACTGAAGCACAGACACACAGTTGGTGCAGTTTGGATTAGTCAGGACGAGGAAAATTGGCTAATTTTGAAAAATTTTCGGACTTGATTAGTATGGGAATGAATATATTGTTGGACGGATGTTAGAGGCTTGTTTCTATCCAGAGAAGAACCGGAGAATGGACCCGATAATTCCCGAGCCTAAGTCGACAATATCAGTGTCAATTTTTTATACGTAGCAAAGCCGATGTTTAATTGACCTTTGAAAACCGGCCACGTGACTGGGTCTCGACCAATAGAATGACTTTTAAATATATTTACGGGTCACAATTTTGAACATAGAGAAAACTACCCACCGCCACGGACGTGTATAATAAAATCTGGACTCGCAATGCCCTTAA